GGGGGGGGGGAGCGGGCGCAGCTAGTGCGCCCCCCCCAGCAGACCAGGCTTTTGTTGCGGGACGCCTCGGGTAGAGCAGCTGGGGTGCTACCTGGTTGGTCCTGTGGGAACCTACCGGGCAGCGCCCCAGCTGCTCTGTCCCAGGCTCCAAATTCAGCAGCTGTTGAAACTGATCAGGCTGATTCCAGGAAGCTGGGGGCAAGAGCAACTCTGCCTCCGGCTTCCTGTAGTCAGCCCCTGGTCAGTTTCAGTGGCAGCAGCTGAATCTGGAGCCAGTTCCAACTTACATACAAATTCAACTTAAGAACAAACCTATAGTCCCTATCTTGTACGAAACCTGGGGACTGCCTGTATACATAAGAACCAAAGAAATGCTTAATATTAAACAAAAAATATGATCTACCTGTTTGACATTTATGGTTCTGTTGGTTTGTTTGTTGGGTTCTCTGAGTATCAGAACAAATTTAACTTCCCCTCAATAGTCCATACACTTTGGCCATCTTGTTGCAAAGGGAAAAATGTAACTCTCCTCTCTGTTTATTAAAACATTCTTATTCTAGAAATGTGCTTAAGTGCATGCTAAAAACACATACTTAAAATCCTACCAAAGTGAGACTTAAAAAAAAAATCACATTTAAGTGCTTTTTGAATAGGGATGAACTTAAGCATATGCTGAAGTGTTGTTAAGAATCAGGATTTGTAGATGGAACCTGTTTAATTCTGTTTAATCAGTCAAAAGAGCATTCTGCCTCTACAAAGTCACAGCAGGAGACCTGAACTAGTAGTAACATGTGGGTCCCTCGCACATTAGTACAGATTATTATCACTAGGACACTAGAATGTAAAGTTTAAGTTTAAATTTGAACATTGTGCTTGCAATTTTAGGAATATATGTATTTAATCAGAGTTTTGCTAGTCATAATTCCATTAAAGATCACAAATTCTAGCTTTGAATTCACTCTCATTACTCAAGCTTGGGAAGAGGTTATGATATATACCAGGCTATGTCTAGACTGCAGAGTTTTTCCGGGATATCCCAGAAAAACTCTGCCACATCCAAGGAACACGTCTGCTTTTCCGAAAAATATTTCAGAAAAGCAGACACATTTTTCGGCATCCCTGTAAGCCTTGTGATATGAGGAAGAAAGGTTGTTCCGAAAATGGTTTTTTTCTGACATTTGGCCCAATGTAGACAGGCCAAATTTCGGGAAAGCCTCTTCCGAAAAAGAAATTCAGTGTAGACATAGTCCCAATTATCTTTTAATTAATTATTTTTTCAACTGACAGGAGTGAAGTCAGAGGATGGCATAGATACCTATGTTTTCCAAATCAAGCATTGGTATATCTAGTCTTATCTGTCTCATCATCTAAACATTCATGGTGAGGCTGACCTTATTTAAAAAGGCCATTAAAATAAATAAATCCCATCTCAAGCAGGTAAGCACTAGTTCTAACCCCAAAACTAAAATACACAAAACAAAAAACAAGTGTAATATCACTTCATAAGCACCATGGACATGAAACTGATATATTTATACTCTCCACACTGTAGACAGGTCTGATGTTGTCAGCTTAATTACAAAAGTTCTAATTTATTGACTTGAAATAGATAAATTCACCAAATCTGAACCACTAGTATAAGTAATGACTTACATGACTTATCTTTCAATGTCACATGAAGTAGACGTGTGTCAACTAGCAGTCCACTGTGTTTTCATGGAGAAGAAATCAAATATTTGACATTTTGAAAACAGCTTAGGCTTTCACAGGAATCCTGACAAGTTTATCAAGCCATCTTCAAATCAGGTGTAATAAATTATGGGATTGGACTATATGTAGTTTAAAGCTTCCTACGACTACTGCTCATTTCACAGGTGTTCACACATGCAAACAAATAACTAGACTCTTGTTCCAGAATTAAAAAGTGAATATTTCATGTATTCATGGACTTCCTTTTCATTATCAAGATTTACAATACTTTAACTTAGGACAGAATCTGTCCAAGAACCTCTAGAAAGGTGACCCATTTTCAAGGAGGAAGAAGGAATATTTTGATAAAGTATGAGTCTACCACTGTTTGGCATATGTGAACACTTGTAAAGTGATAGGGAACAGGTAGCTTTAAACTACAGACATTCCAATCCCATAATTTATTACACCTGTTTTGAAGATGGCTTGGTAAACTTGATACAGTATTTCAATCCTACAGTTTATTACAATTGATTTGAAGGCCGGCTTGGAAAAACATAGGTCTGCAACCCAAATAAAGCATATACCTTTTAAAAGTGTCAGTGTGATTACCTGACCAGTGTGAGTGAAAACAGAATCTAGTCCCTTGTACAATTTGTAACCAAAATAAAACTGTGTTCTAATGCATTCATTTTTCTTCTCCTGTCATTCTCCCTCACAAGCTCTCTATTTTCCATCTCACTATCCCTGCTTCCATTTTTCTCTCCTTCCACTCATTTCCATGTCTCCTCCCTCAGTTTCTTTTTTCCCTTCCTTATTTTATTCCTCTTGCTTACTCCAGTTTATTCTACCCCTTCTATCATTCCTCACCCCAGCCCCATCCTAAACTAAGTAGTTACATATATATACACACACAAA